CACTTAGTAACAACACCCTTTATGGAAGCAGCTTGCCAGGCCTTTCTTCTGCAGCACATCTGGGTGGGTTTGGTTACCAGCTGAGCTCAAAGCATCAGTGACACTTAGGGACCTGATGGACAGTGAATACTAGGAACCAGTGAACAGAAATCCAATGTTGGAGGAAGAGGAGGGGAGGAGATACAGAAGCAATTCTCAAAAAAATACAAATCCAAAGATAAAGAACTCTTGTTCACACCTCTATGTGCCGTAGCCCCAGCAACAGCAACAATACTGATGACTCCACCAAAGCTTGGCAGCTCTCTCACAGCTGACAAAAATTTTAGATATTTTAGAAATGCAAACAATCGCTCAAATTCCATGTTATCAATAATTGGGTATCTCTAGAAAAAGAAACACAAAAAAGCACACAAATACAACACTAAATACACCCAGGTAAGAGAGGTAACATAAGAATTCCATGAGCTAAGGCTGAATGCTTTTTTCTGAGATAAAAATAAATAACTTACATTATTTATATTGCTTTTAACTTTTTCAAACCATCTCACGTCCAATTTCATCGTGTTGAAGGCCTTTAATTTTTAGGGACAGAGACAAATCAGGGAATCACAGTTTGGGGGAACCATCTCAGCAGTGTTTCTCTCTCTCACTATGGGAGTCCAGAGAACAGCGCCCCCAAATGGAGGCGGGGAAACCAGGGACTCCAGAGTGAGAGGGACAGAGAGGCTGCAACTGGGCCCAAGGAATCTTGATCCTGGCAGGGTCAGCTACAAAGAAGCCACCTGTAGATAACAAAAAGGACTCAGGGTCTTGCCCAAGCAGGCTAAACAGATAGAGATGCCTTACTCTTTAGATTTGTCCCATCCATGCATTGAATTGATACGATGCACTTCTTTCTTTTTTGATTGTTTGGAGGTCATGGTAGAGGCCTAACAATACTGCCGCCGAGCGGAACTTTAAGCAGCTTGTGCGATCCTAGGCTCCGCGCGTCTGCGGTTGCCAGGAGACGGAGGCAGCATTCCGTGGCCACAAGGCGCTGGGGAGGCTGTTCTTAAGGGGGGCGGAGTCGGCTCAGGGGGAGAGGAAGTGACTCTGGGAAAGACGAGAAGGGAGTGTGGGTCCATGGGAGAGGGGGAGGGGAGCGGCTCAGTGCGGGTGCAGGTAGGCTCCTCCAGGGGCTGGCTCTACGGATGCGGGTGGGAGGGGCAGGAGCTCCTAAAGCATAAGGAAATTGAGGAAGGAGGTCTGGCCACTGAGTACCTGGGAGTGCTCCTTTTATGCTCATTCTGTTTGGCCTTGTACTTCCAAACCAAAGACCTACATTAACCAACTTTCTTAAGAAAGTTAAGGTATTTTGACAATGCAGCCCTCACCCCAGATTTCCCTTGGGCTGAACATAAGGTGTTCTCTCAATAATTTCTAATGAAACAATAATGGCACTTGGGATTTTCTGGTGCCTTGAAAACTGTGGGCCAAGAAATGATTACAGAGGCTTAAGAGAGAGCCCTGCAGCGAATATCAATCAAGGTTTACAGTTAGACTATGGTGATGTCTAGAATGAAACAAATCAGATCTCTTGTGTGTTCATGTGCAAGAATTCATACAAATTATGAAACCTAAGACCCTTGGTACCATCTCTAGATATGGCATTGGAGCCAGGTGGCAGTTATCCAATCAAATGACGACCTATTAAGGCGCAGGCTGAAGGTTCAGTCAATCCTGCCAGGCATTTATGAGTAATCTTAAATTGAGCAAGCCCCTCCCTTTAACCACTGCTCACTGGGAAACCCTGTGCAAGGTTGCTATGAGTAAGAATCTACTCTACTTTTCACCAAGAAAGTAAAAAGCCCATGGAATGGGAAAAAATCTTTTGTAACTACATATCAGATAAGGGACTAATCTCTAAAATGTATAGAAAACTATAATACATCTACAAGAAAAGAACAAAAGATCCTGTTTTAAAAGGGGCAGAGGACATAAACAGTTCACTAAAGAATACACACAGACATTCAACAAACATGAAAACAGGTTTGCGATCAATAGCTATGAGAGATGCAAATCAAAACCACAAGGAGATATCATCTCACCCCAGCATTAATAGCAAAGTTCAAAAAACAGAAAGCAAGAGATGCTGGTGAGATTGTAGATGGGACTTCTACACTGCTGATGGGACTGTAAAATGGTGCGATCGCTGTGGAAAAGGGTTGGGAGCTTCCTCAAAAAGTTGGAACTAGCAATACTATATGACTCAGAAATCCCCCCATTTGTTTTATATCCACAAGAAATAAAAGTCATGACACAAGTAGATATATGCACACCCATGTTCATAGCAGAACTATTCCCTATAGAAAAATAAAACTGAGCTGGCCTGTTGTTGTTAGGTGCTACCGAGTCAGTGTGGACCCAAAGCAACCCCACGTACAACAGAACGAAACGCTTCCCAATCCTGAGTCATCCTCACAATTGCTGCTATCCTTGAGCCCATTGTTGCTGCCACTGTGGCAGTCCATCTCATTGGAGGTCTCCTTCTTTTTCTCTGTCTCTCCATTTTACCAAGCATGATGTCCTTCTACAGGCACTGATATCCTGATAACAAGTCTGAGAGATCAAGTCTGACTTCTATGGAGAGATGAAGGCTTCTATGGAGCATTCTGGTTGTAATTCTTCCAACACAGATTTTTTGTTCTTCTGGCAGTCCATGGTGCCTGTAATATTCTTCTCCAGCACCATAACTCAAATGGTGTTGGAATTGCCAGAGGTTCAAGTCAGATTCAGATGAGGAAGTGGAATGAGGGATATCAATGTTGATGTTAGATGGATCTTGGCTAAAAGCAGAGAATATCAGAAAGATGTTTACCTGTGCTTAAGTAACTATGCAAAGTCTTTTGACATAGATCAAGAGACTATAGTTTGAACAGAATAAGGGAACACTGAATGGTTTAAAATCAGGAAAGGTATGCAACAGGATTGTATTTTTTTTCATCATACGTATTCAATCTGTATGTTTGTTGTTGTCAGGTGCCATCGAGTCGGAACCGACTCATAGTGACACCATGCACAGCAGAACGAAACAATATCCGATCCTGGGCCAACCTCCCTACCACTGCCACACTTGACACCATTAATGATGCCACCTGGCCAATCCATCTCATTAGGGGTCTTCCTCTCTTTCTCTGACCCTCCATCTTACCCAACATGACATCCTTCTCCAGCGACTATTTCCTCCGGACAATATGTCCAAAGTATGAGAGACGAAGCTTAGCCATCCTGGCCTCCAAGGAGCACTCTGGCTGCACTTCCTCCAAAACAGACCTATTGGTTCCCTTGGCAGTCCATGGCACTTTCAGTATTCTCCTCCAACACCACAACTAAAAGCATGAATTCTTCTACGATCCTTATTCACTGTCCAGCTTTCGCATCCATATGAGGCTATTGAAAACACCATGGCCTGGGTCAGGCGCACCTTAGTCCTCAAGCTGACATCTCTGCTCTTCAATACTTTAAAAAGTTCCTGTGCAGCAGATTTGCCCAATGCAATACGTCGTCTGATCTCTTGACTGCTGCTTCCACGAGTGTTGATAGTTGATCCAAGAGGAATGAAGTCCTTGACAACTTCAATCTTTTCTCCATTGATAAGAATGTTGTTCATTGGTCCAGTGGTGAGGATTTTTGTTTTCTTGACATTGAGATGTAATCCATATCGAAGGCTGTGCTCTTTGATCTTCATAAGTAAATGTTTCAAGTCCTCTTCACTTTCAGCAAGTAAGGTGGTATCATCTGCGTATCGCAGGTTGTTAATGAGTCTTCCTCCAATCCTGATGCCACGTTTTTCTACATAGAATCCAGCTTCTCATATTATTTGCTCAGCATACAGGTTGAATAAGTATGGTGAAAGAATACAACCCTGTCTCACACCTTTCCCAATTTTAAAACATTCAGTGTTCCCATGTTCTGTTCAAACAACTGCCTCTTGGTCTAAGTACAGATTTCTCACAAGTACAATTAAGTGTTCTGGAATACTCATACTTCTCAATGTTGTCCATAGCTTGTCATGATCCACACAATTGAAAGCCTTTGCGTAGTCAATAAAGCACAGGTAAATATCCTTCCGGTATTCTCTGCTTTCAGCCAAGATCCATTGGACATCAGCAATGATATTTCTCGTTCCAAGGCCTCTTCTGAATCCAGTTTGAATCTGTATACTGAGCACATATTCTGAGAAACCAGACTATATGAAGAAGAATGTTTCATTAGGATTGAAAAAAGACTCATTAACAACCTGCAATATGCAGAGGATACAACCTTGCTTGCTGAAAGCTAAGAGGACTTAAAATCTTACTGATGAAGATCAAAGACCAACACCTTTGGTGAGGATTGCGCCATAATGTAAAGAAAACAAAAATCCTCACCACTGGACCAGTGAATAACAACGATAAATGGAGAAAAGATTGAAGTTTTCAATTTGCTTGATTTCATTTTGCTTGGATTCATCAATGCCCATGGAAGCTTTAGTTTTTCCAAGACAGATTTGTTCATTCTTCTGAAAATTCCTGGTACATCCAATATTCTTTGTAACACTGTAGGTAGGAATATTTAAAAAGTTTGAAGGCTTATAGCTATTGGAACTTGTATCAGAAGTAAGAAATCTCATAGTTTAAAATCTGCTAGGCTTGGAGGCCCAGAGCTGACAACTTGCCTGAGACCAAATGGCAAGGCCAAGTGGGGAGTAGATCTATCACAGAATAACACCATGGAAAACTTGGAGCAAAGGTGGACAACACACTTTGTCAGTTTTGCTTTGTTCTGATTTTTTTTTTTTTTTTGGTATCTGTTCATTGGACCCCCACTGTTTGCACACCTCTATTCTGGTCACTAGAGGGGGTGCCTGAGGGAGTGGACACCCTCCACTCCCACCACAGGTGGGTTCTTCTGCCACAAATGCACACAGATACTCTCAGTTTTTAAAGAGACGAGCAGCCCAAGAGCTGGCCCTGAACTGTTTTTTAATAGGGAAAAGGCAAGAACAAGGGGTGTGAAGAGGGAAAGAGAGTTCAAAAATAAAAATTAAATCCTGAGGTACAGTAAAACAAGCAACAGTGGCATCTTGAAATTTATGGGATGGCCTTGAATGCAAGAAGCTGAAAGAAGACATTAAAATCATACTC